GTCCAGATAGGAATTCCATAAGTATTGAAGTGGAACACTGCTGGAGGCCTCTCGGAATCCATTTATTCCGCGAAAATCATGGTTATTTATGGGAAAGCGCGAGGACAGTGGAATGAATTTATCAACAGATTGGTTGACTGATTGCCTTCAACTATCTTGATTGGTTGGTGGTTCCGGCCAGTCACATGAGCACGCCTGTCGATGTTCTGATTGGTTGTTCCAGAACAAAGGAGTTTTCAGGGGATATACTGACTCCATGACAGATGGAACTCGTAGGACATGCCCCTCAAATAACAAAACATATGGGTTCTCAGCATCAAACTTGCACATCGACAGCCACGTGTAAAAGAACATTTATTCCGAAGTTTATCTCCTACCGTAATGTTGCTAATTTTCTTGTATCACTGTTTCAATTGGAATGACCTTGAGCGTATAATACATGTAAAAGCTACTAATTATTGAGCACTGTTTTCAGTGTTTCGCAGATCACTGATTTCCACAAACTATCTCTGAGATTGGACTACATATCATCCAGACAATCTTACACCCGGGAAACATGAGACTCTTGTTTCGCCTCTGCTACAGTTCATTAGTAATTCGTATCCACAGGATTGTTTACGATGTATAATCTACAGCACTCCAAGCAACTCACACTAACATCAATTTTCTATAGAATCACCGATTCAGGTTTGTCCAGTTGTCGTGAGCATTTCATTTCGTTCGACACTGACGAAGGGAAGCAGTATACTCTCGGTGATGTCATAGGATCTCTCGCATGCCTTCGTTTCCAAGCGTTGTGACTAATGAAGTGGTTCCGCAATGTTGGAGGTGATATAATGGTCACTGAAAGCAATGGTAAATTGTTGGAAGAGTAACAAAAGCGTTTGTCACAATCAGCAACTTATATTAGTGAAATACATCCATAAATCGGTTCTCGTTCGGACCCATTATTGCTCCTAATTGTTTTATGCCCCGTTTGGATTCGAACTTTCATTTTGGGAGCCAAAACTTTGAATGTTTTAATCTGTCTCTGGATTACGCCATTCGATTTTTCAGTGACACTAATAAAACACACCGACATAGCACTAACCATGTCAAGTATCTGCGAAAATCGAATGAAATGATTCAAACATTGTTCCGCAGTATTTTCCGGCATATCTCTCACTCACGGAGTTTTGACCTCGGTACTCATTTGTTTTACCGATTGGCACACACACATACATACACACATACACACACATACACACATACACACACACTTATATCCCAACAAAGTAACCTGTATTGTTGTTCCCTCAGAATAGGGTATTGTGTTAGTGGTCGGTGATTGACGACGGGTAACAACAGTCCAGGCAGGTTACATTTACCCATAGTATGAAGAATAGAACTACAGTATATTTAAAGTTCTTTCGAAAATTGAATTGTCAAGTTCCATTGTTATGAGTCTCGTTTCACAAGAAGCAAGGTTTTGGCTACGATTGATGCATGGACCGATACAAGTGTGGAGATTAGAAGTATGCGAATGAAATCAGTGCAATAACACGAGACTGCACCTTGACGTGGTGTGATGGCCTGTACACCTCCCTGACCCAACGAGCTACGCAGGATGACTTTTGTCAAGCCGGTAGATCCAATCATGCCTGAAATGTCAACGGATAGAGATCAGACAAAGTCCAGTTTTCTGGTCCTCCAAGTTTGGGGTTCGACTGAAAGTTGCGTTTCAGTCGGTAAAAAATGGTGGAGGAATAATCGATCCAAGTAAATAGGCCTTCACTCCGCTTCACCCTCTCCTTTTGCGGTCGGATTCTCGTCAGAACTAAACACTTTGGACGAGAACCCCAATCGTTCTCCTGCTTAGTGGCTGGAAATTCCAGCAGTACCCGCCCGTCAAACCCTAATGTGAATGTATTGAGAGTTTGGCAGCAACCAGTGAAATTCACTTCACGGTATTTCGCTGCACAATCGTGAGGATAATGTTGGCACGGATCTCGCTAAGTGGTAAGAATCTATTGCACCTGTAAGTAGGAATGAGCGTGATTTCATCCAAACTATCGTGTCTGATTCTGAGCAACCGAGAAATGTGCAATCGACAGTGATCAATCACTTTCTCGGGATGACAACAATGAAACGACACTTCACACGATATGACTCCACTGTGTGCGGCGAGGTGATATTCAAGCATCGCCCACTCAGTAGTCACTCAATAAATTTGTATCGGCCATTATGCATTCCAACCATAGTTGTTAAAATTTGTCTCAGTGTAGAATAGATACATCTCTCTCCTTAAAAAGTACCAAAAGATTTCTCTGAAAGCATGGAAATGTACTTCGGCTAATTGTTTCGTTTGTCACATAAGGTTGACTACTAACGGAGAGATAGAGTGACATGTACCTAGGGCCAATTGATCTTAGTTTGTTTGCTACTTTCAGTACTAGAACAGCTAACTTCCCTGCTTTCCGCACGCCGAGAATCTGGTACTCTTTCTCTGATTCCAAATCGAGTCGAGTCGAATACCGAACTTTTGCTTCTCTCGAAATGTGTCTGGAGATCAACTGGCGTGCAACGATGTAGTGATTTAGGGTTGAGTAATTGATTTCCATTTCGCACGTTCTTTAAGAATAAAGGTATTAGGACAGAGCGCACAAAATCCGTCCTGCCACGCAGCGACGCGCGTCACTCCACAAGTGCGCTCGTGACGCCCAAGCCGAATCGACTCCTGATTGGATGACTAAGGCGAATCAAATAGCTGTCGTCTGGTCGATCAACCTGAGTGTCAAGGTCACGATCTGATTGGCGCGTCACCACGTCTGCTCGCGTACGCCCAACTGACACATATATTTGCTTGTTGTTTCATGATCAAAAATNNNCACTCTGACTGTCGTTTCTCAGTAGTGTTCTTTCTCCAGTTGTTGGGGCCTAGACAAGAGGCGTACGTATTGATCATATCGTTTTCACATCAAGACATAACAAATGGCGACGGAAAAATCGGAACTTTTAATGAATTTTTCGGCAGATCAATTTCAACTCCTGTTAATGCAGCAACAGAAACAGATGGA